ACCAACCAGTCCCAAAACACATTACGGACTTGCTCGAGGCCTCAAATCATATCAAACAACGCTAAGACCACGAATCGACCTCCAATCCAAGCTTTATGTACTTTAGAATTTCAAACTTCTACTTCCGATGTTTAAACCTATCAAATCACGTCCGATTGACTTCAAATTTTGCACACAAGTCATACTCGAAATTACAGACCTACTCAAACTTTCGGAATCGGATTCCGACCCCGATATTAAAAGGTCCACTTCCGGTCAAACTTCTCAAGAACCTTCAAATTTCTATCTTTAGCCAAATGGCTCCAAAATGCTTCACAGACATCCAAATTCACTTCCCATCGCGCTCTCAACTCCAGAATCACCATACGGAGCTACTCCCAGAGTCTGAATCCCATACGGACATCGATAACACTGAAATGCACTTCAACCCAAACTTATGAAATTTCTTCCAAAATGCTAACTTCCACAATAGGCGCCAAAACGCTCCCGGGTCACCCAAAACCCGATCCGGGCATACGCCCAAGTTCTAAATCATCATACAAACCTACTGGAACCTTCAGATCCTGATTCCGAGGCCATTTAATCTGAAATCCAATCCTAGTCAATTCTCTCAACTTAAAGCTTCCGAAATGAGAATTTCCTCTCCAAGTCAACTCCGAACTTCCCGAAATTTAATTCCGACCACGCGTACAAGTCATAATGCCTGAATTGAAGCTGCTCATGGCCTCGAAGTGCTGAACGGTGCACTAGGGCTCAAAACAACCGATCGGGTCGTTACACTTTCCTTCATGGCACTTAGTTATTGCTTGTTATAAATAGCATAATTATGCTAACCTCCAGATAATCTCATCCCTGAGTCTACGTCAATTAACTGAAGACGAAATTTTAACGTAGGAAAAATGCGGGATGTAACATCATTCCCCCCTTTGGAACATTCGTCCTCGAATGTTGACTGGTGCTCTTATCATTTTCATAGCCTATCTCTTCTGAATACTTTATTACTCTCCTTGCCATCTAAACAACTGTTCTGTGATTAAATCCAAAGTCCAGGGCATTCCCCCCTTTAGGCCTCTTTCTCACACCACGACTTATGGTCGGAACCCTTCCAGTCTCGTAACTGTTGCTACCTTCTATCATGCAGCTTGTACGACTCTGACCTTGTAAGTGCGCTTATGCGTCTCTTCTCTCCTCTTTCCTCCAGCTTTTAGCCAATTTCTAGGCCTTACTTGTGAAAATATACAGAGCTTAATAAGATGTCCCTCTGGGCATCTATAGGCATACTGAAGTTCTTTGCCCGATACTTTGTTGAACTTACGAATATTGTTATACCTTATTTCATAGACCTGTTTATTCATTCGTATGACTTTACTGCATCTAGGTAGGTCATACTATACCGTAACTCATACTTCGATTTATCGTTACTGTGGTCTGCAACTAACTCCAGGTTACTCTCGTTGCTTATCCTACATGTATAAATCTATGTCCTTTAATGCTTTTTCCTTACTGTTCGTCTTAATAATGACGGACTAATCTCACCTTATTCTTTGTGACTTCTGTCCATCCATTGTCGATTCGTCTTAATGTAGATGTATCATCTATCAATGATAACTTGATCTCTTATGTAACACTGCCGCTAGGGCTCACGTCTCATCGTGGAACATTTGACGTGATTGTCTTGATCCACCTGGTGGTGATACAATGCTATACTTCCATAATCGTAGTTCATAGCATCCCAGTGTGATTTACCTTACGTGGGTATTTTAATCCTGTACAATTCGCGAAATCATTACTCAATCAAAGGCCCAAACGTCATCCTTCCTCTATCCAATTACACCTTCATTCTACTATCAGAGTAGCATTCCATCTCTTCTAAATGCCATTAGTCTTAGATTCATTTGAGTTCCTTTAGGCTATACTGAGCTTTGTATAACTAAGAGAAACCATCAACTCTTCTTATTTTCGTGGGCTTAATCCTGAGGACTTATCCATTCTCGTTACCTTCTCACTTGCCCTTTCTTATCCTTACTCCTGTCTTCCTAAAACC